GTTTATATTGCAGCACAGCAAGGAGCAGAAATTCAACCAGTCAGTCAAGGGAAGGACTTGAAGAGTAAGTCTACCGGAACAGAGCCTCTTGCTACTACACAAGGCCCCTGAGGATTCTCAGCAGCAATGAAAGAAGCAGAGCTGGCTCAACACAGAGTAAAACATTCAGGGATCTCAAGCTTAGTAACAGGGAGGATCCCAGAGGTGAATGTAAATGGGTGCTGCTTTTCTAAATTCACAAGCTATAATTAGGTATATATGGACAAAGTACCTTGGTAAAATGTTAAAAAAATGATTCATCGTGTTTTTTCATAAAGAAATATTCCTTTATACCTTGATGGGTCTTCTGTATTAAAGCACAGAGTTGTCAGGATGCCAACTATCTTTCTTTGTAGCTTATCAATATGTTATGAGAAAGACATTGCTAAAAATAGCAGTGAAGTAAACATAAGCCTTGGAATTAGAAATAACACTGGGTCCTCCATCATGTGTTTTCCTTACTCAAGACCGCTATACTGAGTTTCATCCTGGGGGTTAAGTACCTTTAAATGGGTTGAAAATGTTTAGGATTCAAAGTTCAAAAAAATAATAGCTATTTTTTTAAAGATTTATTTGACAGAGGGAGAGAGTGCACGCATGTGCAAGCGTGTGCACACAGGGGGGAGGGGCAAAGGGAGAGTCTTAAACAGACTCCCCGCTGAGCACATTGCCCTACACTGGGCTGGATCTCATGACCCTGAGATCATGACCTGAGTCGAAACCAAGAGTCAGACAACCGACTGCACCATCCAGGTGCCCCCAAAGAATACCTGTTTTAAAGATATCAAAACTGAGGTTCAGATTGTTTAAAAACCTTCCTTCTCTGATGTTAAACAGCTAATATGAAGGTCATAACTTTCACTAACCACCTGTGTTCAATTCCAAAGCTCTTGTCCCTTTTACCAGTGTAGTCTACAGAAAAATAGGAACATGTTCCAAAGACTGCAATAAAAATAACTGAAGGGATGGATATGGGCTTCATGAGTTCTCAAAGAATCTGATAATATTCTGGATTAATATAGAATAATGTACACCTCTATATGTTCCCAGTAACTAAAACAGAGGATATTGCTTTAAGGTATAAAGGAAAAAAAATTAAACACTTTAAGATATAATAAAAGCATACTAAGCACAGAAACCCTGGAGAAAGGAACCATGAATAGTGTCTATTCCTAGAGTACCTCAAGCAAAATACGGACAGAGTCCCCTTTAACCTGCCCAAAAAGATATAGCAGGAGCAGATGTGTGCTCTACGGTCCTTTCTGCTTTATGATCCCATAATTCCATTACTTAATAGTTTGCAAATTAGAGTCCACAGTAGTTTATGATAACTCCATTTGTGCCTGACAGTAGGGTAGGGAGTATGCAGCATAAAATTGCCTGCCAGTTACATGCAGTTAATATTAATACAGTATAATGAAATAGGATATGTTGACCCTATTTTGATCTAGGAGCTCTAGAAATGAAATAAGGTGTGCTCAAGGAGCATTGGTGAAGCTATTTTTCTCCTAAATGTCAGATAGTTAAGAGCCCATTTAGACACACTCATTTATATATAAACCTTGTTCTTCCATTACTCACTTCCAAAGCCATCAAAGATGAATGGTGTAATGGTTTAATGAACCAAGATTTCCTTCAAGTCATAGGTCACAGGGAGAGAAAGACATTAAAAATATTTCATTACTTATAAATTTCTTCAATAACACCATTTTAATAGTATTCTCCCCTAGACAACTCTATCAGAGTGTATTAGTTTATAGCTAAACTTATTTCCCTCCTTACTCCATTCATCTCATCTGTTGAGAGGATGCCTTTTGCCTTTCATAGTTCAGAGCTCAATTTTCAAACTAGTCTGCTCACCTGCTCCAACATTCTCTTTCCTATAAAGCCTGTAAAACTAATGAACACTTTCACAGGATAGGAGACTCAGTGATCGTGTGAGGGCTAACTATATCATCTACACAAGAATGAAATAGAGAGCAAATAAAAGGCTCAACTAAACGAAAAGAGTGGCAAATCTGAAAGCTCATTCATGCTTCATAATGTAAATGTATTTGGAAAGAGAACACGTGAAAAAATACGATATAGGGACTCTGAGGGAATAAGGTGACTTGAGCTAATGCATGCAAGGCTGCCTCCACCCCCATTCCAGTAGCTGGTGGACTGGGCAATGGAACAGAGAGTCAGGGAAGCATGCCCCAGCACTGGAGTGGGGGGCGGGGGGGGTACCATGGGCCCACCATGAACTAAACAATTCCCACTAAGTAAAATTCATATAAGATCACTTTAAAAGTAAGACTGACAATTCAAATAATCACAGAATACAGAAGTACAAAGCCTAAAGGAAATGGATACGTGGTACATATTGAGAGATCAAGGATGGTTCGGATGGCTTGAGAAGAGAATGAAGTGAGCAGAGAGAGGAACCTGGGAAGAAGCCCTGAGGAAATTCATATTAAAGAATTATAAAAATGCTGCTGCATAAAATAAGGAGATTATTATAGCACTGAAGATGAGGAATAATCGTGTACTTGTGAAAAATATTTATTCCAGAAAACAGAAGTCACGTTTTAGTCATTAACGCCTTTCATCAGGGCGCCTGTGTGGCTCAGTCAGTTGAGTGCCACAACCCTTGGTTTCAGCTCAGGTCATGATTTCTTGGGTCCTAGGAACAGCCCCATGTCAGGCTCCTCACTCAGCGGGGAGTCTGCTTGAAGGGTTCTCTCCCTCTGCCCCTCCTCCTGTTCTTTCTCAAATAAATCTGAAAAAAAAAAAAAACAAAACACCCACACCTTCCATCAAATTAAAGCAAACAAACTCTATAGGAAAACAAAACACCAACACATAATCTTAGTATTAGAACCAATAAAGAACAAAACCATTATTGCAGAAACTGAATCTACCATGTGGCAATCTCTCAATGGATATTTCTGTAGAAGACACTAGAACAATTGTAACAAAAGTAGTATACAAACATTTGAAGATAGCTTTCTTGAATGAAGATGTTAGCTTTACAAACTGAAAGGGCAAAATTAAAGAAAATAGATGAATACCTACCTACATCATGGCTAAATTTTTGAATTTTAAGGATAACAAGTTTTGTACTCATCTAGTAAAAAAAAAATAATAATAAAATAAAAAAGATTACTTACAAAGAGACACCGCTGGCTCTAGGCTTGTTAGAGTCTGATCATGTATGCCGACACGCGCATATCAAAACTCCCCTACCACTACCACCACCACCACAAATATGTTAAATATATAATCTTAAAATCCTCAGTAGAGTATCAGCAACTTGAATCCAAACATTAAAGGTATAACAATTACTCAGTTATTTCAGGAGCCTAAGCATCCACTTCAACTCTTCCCCCATTATCTCCTTCCTCATGGTACTCATACAACAGGGCCCCGTAGACACCAAGTCCCTCAACTTACTACCCCCTGCCATTTTGATCTATTCCCTTAACCATAACTCCTTCATCATTCCAGAAACAATGCAAACACTATTCCTTGTCCTTATCTTACATGAGTACTTGAACTTTTTGGTTCAAGTTTTTATTTAGATTCCAGTTAGTTAATGTATAGTATAATATTAGTTTCAGGAGAATTCAGCGAGTACTTGAAGTTACACAGTCTGCTGCCTCTCCACAGCTGTTTACTATTTATTCTCTAGCAGCTATTTCCTAACATAGATGGGAGTTCTCTTTCATTCTAGAGACATACCAAAACATACAGGCAAGTAACAAGCCTCTCCCAAGCCTACTTCCTTCTCCCATAGCCATTTTACTCCTTCACTTCCAAATTTCTTGAAATCGCTGCCTGCATTGATGGCCTCCATTTCTTGTAATCGACTTTCTTTCCCACCCCACCATTGGCTTGAAATACTTCACAGCCTAGTCTAACTTGACCACTCAGCTGCATTCAGACTGATGTGCTGTAGCTTGCTTCTAGAAATACCTTCTTCCCTTGTTGTCCACAATAGCACACATTCCTGATTTTCTTCCAACTTCAATGGGAATTATTTCTTAATCTTTGTTGCCAAATTCACTCCTACAATCCATTCCTTAAATGCTAGTTTGTCTAGAGTGTCTCACAGAGGCCCTTTTCTCACACTACACTTTCCAAGTATGACCTCATGCATTCCCATGGTTACAGTGATAATATATATGTTGGTAAGTCCTAAATTGATCCAACTACCCATTAAACACCCTTATATACACATCCCATAGGTTTCTCAAATAGTATTACTATTTTACTCCCACTAGCCCTTAGTGTATTATTCTGCATGCATAGCTTTCTCCATTTATTATTTTTCCATATATGAATCAGTGTACACACCTTATTAAGTACCCTGAAACTTTTCACTCAATATGCAAAACACCTTACAGTGTCCTTAAATATCATATGGCAAGGTTTTAAGATTTACTAAATGCATACACAAGCATAAGTAACACATGTAGAGTTTAAAGAATAGCAAGAAAAAAAATGGGAAAACATATGCCTACAGGAAAATAAACTGCAATTTAACCCCAAGTGGAATATTAAAGTGTTATCAAAAGGGAAACCTCATCTAACATGAAAAATCTTAGCAAAATGATAGAGAATATTAGCAACATGGTCCTAAAGAAAAAGTGAGTGCCAGAACAAGAAGTCCCCATTTAGAAAGTGAAAACTGTATTTATAGAATATACTTTTGAACACAGATGCATTATATATATGTATATACATACAGGTGTATGTGAATGCACATGTGTGTACAAACACTGTAAATAGCTTGATCTAGAAAATAACCCAACATCCAGGATGGTTATTATCTCATGTAGGCACAGGATAGGATAGGATGGGGCACACATATGTAGAGGTTATTATCAAAATTCTTCTAACTCGGCTGTTGACAAACCCTGGAGTCGAAGCGGTCGGAGGCCTTTATGGCTGTGGAATGCCGGAAAGTGCATATGTTATGTATAAAAGTGGATACTTTCCATAATAAATGAAAATGGCCAATTCTTTAAGAGGAGAAGTACTGAATCTTTATAAAAATCTGCTGTATCTTAGACGAGACTATCCAAAAGGAACAGACTATTTTAAAAGGTGTCTGAAGAATGTTTTCCTTAAAAACAAAGATGTGAAGAATCCAGAGATCAAAGAACTTATTGGACGGGGCGAATTTGTAATGAAAGAGCTAGAAGCCTTATACTTCTTTAGGAAATAGAGAGCGATGAAACAACGCTATTATTCAGATATCAACAAAACTAACTGATCACTATTACTATAACTTGACTGGAATTCAGTGCCAGCTGTTTATATATACCAGATACGATAAAAGTAACTAACTTAAAATGGCAAGATTTACACATCATGTAAAAAATGCCTGAGCTGCCTTAATGAACTAAAATGGGTTTCAACTTCTGTTCACAGAGCTTTATCAGCAATCCTTAATGTTTAATTTTTATACAAAATCAGAACTATAACTACCAATTAAAAACTAATGACTACCCAATTTTGAATGAAAATATAATGTACTTAAAATAATTTTAATAAGTTCTTACCAATTATTCTTAGCCCATTTCTCCATTTTACTGACAAGAGAATGCCATTTAATGCATGTAACTAAGCAAAATTTATTGCACATTAATTTCCCTTAACTTTTGAAGGAGTACCATCTTATTTCCTCATTTTTGAACCTATTTGGTACATTAACAGCACATATTCAAGGTTCACTACAAAACAAATAGCACCTGGTAATGATTTAAGTGCAGTTATAGAAATAATATATATGGAATAAGATAATTTCTGATCTTTAAGCAGGCTGCCAGTGACTGGCATTACATACATACCTATTTAATATCTTCCATTATTTGATTTTGCTGCTGGCTCCCTTTGGGTCTTAAAACAAGTCACCTGTGGTATATCAATTACCTTTACTGATAAAAAGTAATAAATGTTATTCTGTTCTTTCATCATAAAAAAAAATTCTTCTAACTCTTGTGTTGAATTAAGACTTCACAAGTATTTATTATGCAATTCACAGATCGAACTTATGCACACATGCATGGGTCAATGAAGGGAACTTTTCAGGAACCAAGTAATGATTTATTCAATTCTGCGTACCTTAGATGCAAAAATAAAATCAGTCCACGAAGACAGTATTACTAGGACCTTTGAAGTGCCCAACTACATATTCATATAACCCTCCTTCTTTGTCCCAAATTGTGTCAATTGCTCTAAATATGTATTGCTAAACTATTTCTCAGTTTTTACTTTTAGAGAAATTATGTCATACTAAATATATTCTTGCATTTCTTAATTTTCCTCAGTATTTTCAGATACATTCATACTAATGCATTAAGCTGTATTTCATTGTTTTGTTATATAGCATCCCATACGAATATAACATCTTTATCCATTCTAGTTATTAGCAGACATCGGTCTTGTTTCACATCTCAAGGTTTTACAAACAACTTGTTTTGAACCTTCTCTACACATCTCTGGAAGCACATGCACAAGGGTTTGTTGGGAAATTTTATAGATATATATATATGTGGAATCCATAGCATAATTTGCTCATCTTCACCTTTAAGAGGTAACACCAAAGAATTTTCCAAAGTTGTACCAATTTATATCCTCACCAGCCATTTGAGTTTTATGATGTTCCACATCCTTTGGTTTTTGTTATGGATACAGTAAAAGTCTTCATATGTTCTGGATACTTATCCATTGCCAATTTTGTGTTGCACGGATCTCCAAGTTCGTGGTTTAGCTTTCCATTTCCTTTATGGTGGCTTTTGATAGATAGAAATTATTTAAATGTAAATAAGTGTACCAAACATTGGATCTTCTTGCCTTAAAAAAAATCTTTCCATGAACCAAGAGCAGGAGTATACGAACTATATAGCCCAATGGCCAAAATTTGGGATTCTACATTTTTAATGTAGAGAATGTTTATTTTTAGAAACTTGTAAAAATAAACAAGGACTAATATGCAATATAGTATATTAGGTGCAAAGCCTAAAGTATTCACTCTTTAGTCCTTTAGATAAAAGTTTGCTGACCCCTTAGGGCCACGAAGATCATCTTTTATAGCAGCACTGTCCAGTACAAGTTTCTGTGATAGAAATGTTCTATAATCTATGCTTCCCAATATGATCGCCGCTGGCTATATGTGACTATTGAGTACTTGAGATATGCTTAATGGATTGGGAACTGAGTTTTGTTTTGTTTAATTTAAATCACTAGATGGGTCTCATGGCTACTGAACAGGTAGTCCTATATTTTTATTTACAAGTTTTAACATTTTGCCTTTCAAAACTATCTTTAATCCAACTAGAACAGATTTGTGTTCACATCAGAGATCAAATGTCACTTTCTCATAGGGATAAAAAAGATTTCCTAAGCATTTTCCTAAAATGGTACAATCACAGTGTGTGTGTGTGTAACAGACTGGAGTAGATACAGGCAACTGCTTAAGGCCAGAGGCAACTTCAGAAAATTATATCACCTGTGATTTTTTTATGTAAATGTTACACCCAACGTGGGGCTTGATTCACACAACCCCAAGATCGAGAGTTACATGCTCTACCAACTGAGCCAGCCAGGTGCTCCTCACCTGTGATTTTTTTCAATTTCATCATTTTCATGACACTTGTACACTAGGCTTACTTCCAAGCACTTTACAGATATTAACTAATTTAATCCTCATATTAGTACTATTAGTCCTATTCTTCACGTGGGGAACTGTGGCACAGAGTAGATCCAAGGACATATCACTACCTTATATGACTCAGCAAATAATGGTTTTGTTTCTTCCATTCTTAACTATGTAATTTCTTGAACTTTTTAGGATCTTACTGCACATGCTCAGGACTCCAATCACTGCATTGTAAGACTGGTAGCGGTAGTATTCTTTCTTGCCTTAGTCCATCTTTTAAAGGGATTATTTTAGTATGATTCTTGCTTTATTCATGTCAATATACCTGATCAAGTAATTTCTTTCTATACCCTGTTGGCTAAAATTGTGCATAATTATGAAATTCATGAAACAAATTTTAATCAAAGCCTTTTTCTGAATATACTGAAATTATCATACAGACTTTCACACTTAATTTCTTAATAGGAGCTGTATTAATCATTTTTTCTAATGTTGAGACAGCCTTGCATTCTTGGAATAAACAATCTTACAGTGTTATAATAGGTCATATGTAATATGTGGTATTTATATGTAAATATAAATTGGGAGTTGCCTTTGCAAAATTTTTAAGAATTAATTTTCATGACCAAGACCAGCATATAGTTTTCCTTTCTTCTACTGCCCTTGTCTGGTTTTCTGTCAAAGTACATGAGCCTAATTAAGTCAGTTGAGGAGTACCATTTTAATCTTACGTACTTTCTGAGAATAGAAAAGTACTGTTTGGTAGAATTCTTTTGAAAAATGAATTCTTTTAAATCTGTTTATTAGGAAAACAATGTCTGTCCTTATTTTTAAAAGCTAATTTGAATCTATTGTTCTTGGCTGTTTCCTGGCTTCCATCTTTACAGTTGCTAGCTCAGCTCTGATTGTCAGTCTTTTGTAGGTGACCTACGTTTTCTCTGGCTGCTTTTATAATATCATTTGTTTTAGTGCTCCTTAGTTTATAAGTGTACTTCAGCATGGATTTAATCTTATGTATCCTATTCGAGATTTGTTGGGGATCCTCAGTCTGGAGATTTGATTCTTTGACCAATTTTGGAAAATACTCAGCTATTAACTCACTGAAAACTTCTTTTCCATTCTATTCTATCCCTCCAGTACTTTAACTAGATGCTTGTTAGTCCTTCTAAGTCTGCTTATCCATTATTCTTGACATACATGTCCTATTTTCCATCTCTTAATTTCTATGTGAATTCAGAGTAATTTGAGATATACAGTCAAGTTTATCAGTTCTCTTCAGCTACATTTAACATTCCTTTTAACCCATATAACCAAGTTTTAAACCATTATTTTTAGGTCTAGAAAATTTACCCTTTATAAATTTCACTAGTCAAATGGACAGTTTATTTCTTAGTCTTACTTCAATACCTTGTTTCTTGAAATGTTAAATAAACTCCTTTTTCTTTTTTTAAAGATTTTATTTGTCAGAGAGAGAGCGTGTGTGCACAAGCAGAGGGAGCAGCAGGCAGAGGGAGAAGCAGACTCCCCACTGGGCAGGGAGCCTGATGCGGGACTCAATCCCAGGGTCCTGGGATCGTGACCTGAGCCGAAGGCAGATGCTTAACCGACTGAGCCACCCAGGCGTCCCAAATATACTCCTTTTTCTGGTAACTCTAGTGTTTACAGTCTTTATAGGTTGGTTTAAATTCTGGAGTTTGTTGTTCCTCTTGATACTCAAGAGTTATGGTTTGTTTTGTGTTGTCTTTTAGGAGTTTTGATTATAAACTCAATACTGGGTATGTACATATGAAGAAAGTGATTCAATTATTAGGAATTAGGTTAAAGAAATTTATCTCTTTGATAAGTCAAACGAGATAAAATAATTATCTTGATGCTGAAAAGGTAATTTATAACATCTGTCATCCAAGCCAGATTTCTTACTTTTAAGGAAATAGTAAGGAGTATATATCCCTAATACAATAAAAATGTGTATCTTAAAATATCAAACACTTAATATAGTGGTGATGTAGGAATTAAGAACTTCAAAGTATTGTTTCAAAAGAGGTTTATTCCACAGCTTTAGGAAAATGGGCTTTCCACAAAGGCAGGAACTAGAAAGAGGTACCTCTTAGGAACTCAAGGGCATAGACTCAAGTGAAAATGTGACCATAGACACTGAGTTTGAGCCAGTATCTAGGAAAGCCTACTGTTTGCAAACGTCCCCTTAAATGGAAAAACTAAGCAAAGGAGATGTGGATATTTTTCTTCAATACTGATGTGAGCCCTGAATATAACAGAAGTAACTGGAATAACTTAAAATCAAGCTTCTCTCATGTAGAAGTCTCTACCTCCTGCAGTGTCATCAACTGGGTGCTGTTCATCAGGAGACCGAGGGATGCTGTACCATTAGATGTTAGGTCTGTTAAGATTCTGTGCCCTTGGCTAAATTAATCTGGAAGCTACAGCAAACTCTGAATGTGTATGTTGGTCTTTTCCAATCAACCAAAGTACTTCTGAAATCACACAACAGGACACTAATGCCAAGGGCTGAAGTCAAAACAATACTACAAACAAAAAGTTTGGAA